CAGAACAGGTTGGATCATAGCCACAGTTGCCGTTTGGGCAATGGCGGTGGCGGTGGCGGCGGCGGCGGCTGCGGCTGCGGCCCTGGCGATGGGGCACTGGAGCGCCATGCTGTGCGCTGGGCGGCTGGAGGTTCTGCTGCTGGAGCGCTTTGGCATTGGGGCGATCTGGCGCGGGGGACCTGGGGCGCGCTGGGGTGCATTGGTGCTGGCGCTGGTGTTCTGGCGAGTTGGGTTCTGGGCGGCAGCGCTGCTAGTGGTGCTGGTGCTGCAAGTACTGATGCACCACCGCCGCCGCCATCACTTACTTGCTTACTTATTTACCTACCTACTTACGTACGTACTTACTTAATCTTGCACTTACTTGCCTACTTACAATATGTGCGGCATTGCAAACAACAGTACAATCATCATGCCATGTCAAATGATCAGTTGTGAGTTGCACTGATTCCAGCGTCTCAAAGCATCCAAGACTCGGCTGACAGGGAAAGGGACCGGGCTCTCGAATAAAAGGAGTCCCCGTGATCTTGACTTGTGTTCTCAGCCTCCTCTTCCATCCCGGGTTGCTGTGACAAACTTCCTCTCTCTTCCATCACCTTCAGCGCGGAACGATGCTGCTCACGGCACAGCAGCAGCAACAGCAGTAGCCATCTCAAGACTTGTAGTAAGAGAGATCATGAAGCCTCGTGATGAGAGCAGCCAGCATACTGAGGTGCGCGCTGCGTCCAGTCGCTGGGCAAAGATTTGAATGGAGTGGCGTTGGAATGGCCGCCGTCTTCCCCCAGTTGCCCGTGCGCGGCGTCCACCAGGAACTACTGGAGCTTGAACATCAGATGCCTGGAATAAACTGAACCCAAGCAACTGTAAAGATGAGATCACGAAAAACATGAAGAAAGCGCCACCGATCTGGGGCCTACAACGCCTCTGATTGGATTGCTAGGTTGGGCGGAGCAGCGGCATCAGCAGGAGCAGGAGCAGGAGGAGCAGGAAGATTATGATAACAAGCCGACAAAATTAGGAGTTGTGCGTGGCACTCCGCCTTCAGCATCTTGAAGCGAAAATCACAAAGTAAATTGCGCCCCTTGTTGCTCCATGGGTATCAGCAGATTGCATTAACTAAATTTGGTAGCTTCCAGTTCACACCGATCTTTCGTGCGGCTTACCCCATCTACACCTCTGAACTTGCATGTCATCAATGAAGGACGCAGAATTCAGGGAGATCCCTCATATAGTGTAATCCCATACTCCTTTCAAACCCCAATGTACACACTATTTAGTCACTCCCACTTTCTTTTCAAAGCCCTAAACCCTAAACCCCTAAACCCCAATAAATCTTATACCTTCAACCCTGAACCCTACCTTAAACCTTAAACCCTAAACCCTAATAAATGATATACCTTAAACCCTGAACCTCAATAACTTCCTGCCTGCTGGGCCAAGGATGCCTTCTGCTGTGTGAACAGCACCGGTAAGGCTTGGGTCTCACCATGCTCTACCTGAGCTATAGTTTGGGTCAATCCCCCACCCAGTAATGGGTACCACAAGGGACTATTGTTTGTATATTAAGGCCTTATTAAGTCCATGTTAAGGAGCTATTCTAAGCTATAGTCTAAACTCCTTAAAGGAGGGTTATATAGGGGATTAAATAGGGTTTAGGGTTCAGAGTCTAAACTCCTTCAAGGGGGGGTTATATAGGGGACTATATGGGGGTTATATAAGGATAATGGAAAAATGGGAATTGCTATTTAGGGTTCAGTGTATAGCCTAAACTCCTCAAAGGGGAGGTTATATAGGGGATTGTATATGGGACTACTCTAGGGATTATTAAGGGGGGTACTAGCTCTACCTGGACCAACTCTGAATCCTACCGCCCAAAGGCCCTAAAACTTCTACCCGAGTGCATTAGGGGTAGTTGTATCCTGAACCAAAGCCCTCACCCTAAACCCTAAACCTCAAACCTGCACCCTAAACCCCTAAACCCTAAACCCTAAACCCTACTAAGAACCTAAGCCCACCTTGTCCTTCCAGGTCAGCCTACAGCTCTCTGCTGGCGATCTGCTGCCGTCCTGCGATCCAGGTTTCTCAAAATGGGGGAGCCCGTTTTCTGGGGATCGATTGGGACTACCAGGGGATTCTACGAGTCTCGGTAAAGGATTTTAAAGGGATGATATCCAGAAACTCCTACATCAGGTCTTCTCTTTCTTTTCTACTGCTCGCATCAAATCCACATACATGAGCAGCCTCCAAGTGATGGTAGCGTCTCAAGCTGATAGGGTTTAGCGGTTATCCCTATTCAGGATTCAGGGAATTGAATCCTCTGCTCCCTGAAACTCAATGTATCCTGAACACGACGCCCTCATAGATCATGAACCCCAAGCCCTAGATGCAACGACCCTCACATAAAGCCTACAAGCCCTAAACCCTAAGACCTAGGCCCTACTAAATCCTCAACCCAAAATATGAAACCCCAAACCCTGTACCCTAGATCCTATGCTGAAACCTACCCTCCCTCCCTGGCCTCAAAAGTGCGGAAGTCACCCTCAAGCCTGCAGGGATTAGTAGGCATTCTAAGTGCTTCTGGGCGTACATACTGGGGTATGTAGGGTTAATGTAGACCCATGATTAATAAACACCCTTCTTTTGAGGGCCTTGATATTAGGATCCCTATTATAATCCCTATTAGGGGGAGGGGGTTTGTAAATCAGGGGTCTACATTAGGATTTAGGGATTATATCCGGGCTTATGGTTTTGGGTCTAGATTACGTAATGGACCTTGCGAAAAGAGGTTAGATGAGAACTACCGTACCCATGGTAGTATAGAGCGCCTGGTACTAACCTTGTTACAAAAACTGGTTCAGGCAGTTTGTAAGAACCCCTCTGCGTGAATTTTCTAGGGTTTTAAGGTTTACTGTCTCACTCACTGTAGGGAGTCTGACAGATTTCAAAAATCGATTCTAATGCTTGCGTCCTGTTGGCAGGTCACCCTAGACTTTTACCCCTCCCAGATCACAGATCGCTTGCCGAGGAAAACCCCCCAAACTCTAAAAACACCTAAACCCTTCAACCCTAAAACCCTTACACCTTAAACCGTGTATAAACAACGAAAGCTCGTCATTGCAGTACTACCTTGCTCATCCCAACTTGTTGGTCATGCAGAGGCCACCTTACATGCACAGCACACTACATTTCCTGCAGCTTCAGAACTCCTTAAAGGGGGTTATATAAGGGAACAAAATAGGGGAGTAGTATGGGGGCTCTAGGGGGATACCGGGAGCAGTGTACCTGAACTACTATCCCAATAACAGGCAAACCCACAAGGGAAACCATATTGGAATAGGAACCCAACTATAGAAGCCTGACAAGAGACCACAATAACCTCATTCTTATCCCCGAGAAATCCCGGGCACAACTATCTTAACAAATACCCCTTCTCAACACCATCCGTATACAACCCTCAAGATGGATCCCACAATTCTCTTGGAGCCCCTAGATATCCCTACGAGCAGGGTCCACTTGAAGGTTCAGGGCAACTATAGCCTCCTTCAACTGTCCTTATAGACCCAGAAAGAGCTCCCTTAAGTCTCCTAATATGGTCATACTTCGGTACCAGCTCTGTTTGGGTAAACATTCCGGAGCCCTAAGCCCTCATGCAAGATCCTACATCCGCATATACCCATACATGTCCCTTTATGCCCACATAGTTACCCCAAACCCTTCACCCTAAACCATAATGACAAGTATCCGTTGAGCCCACCAGCCTGTGTGGAGACAAGGGGCGAACGGCCAGCATCACGCCGGCCTTGGCTTTGAAAAGCTTCAAACCAAGAACCCATTAACTGGGTTGCTGTTAAGAAATTTTAAAAATTCACCATAATATGGGTATATGGAAGATAATGAGGTTTCCTCATCACATTTAGTTACCATAGTACAGGTATATAGTAAATGATAGGGGTTCCTTTTTCTTGTATTTTTCTAAAAAGGTCCTTATCAGGTCTACAATATCTAATAGGAATCATAAGAGACTGCAGGAGACCACCTGGTTACTTCTTGATGTTCGCCTTATCAGATGGGAGTTTCTCAAGATACCACTAGGGTTTAGTAAATACTAATCTCTTGCCCCTGATACTAAGCCCCTCTATGTTAGATGATTTTTGCGGTGCCTAAAGCCTCGGAAGAGCACTTGCAAAAGGGCAGGACTCCAAGGGTCCAATTCAACCAAGCCAAATCATGAATAGGTTGGGGGCTTCGCAAAAGGAATCAAAAAGGGTAAGGAATCTCCTCAATTTGTTATTGTGTGTATGCGGTCTTTAAGGAAAATCATATACAAGAATATAAACAGAATCTCAACCCTTCAGCCCCTAAATCCCTTCAACCGCCTTTTTATTCCTGGTTGAACCTAGTAAGATTATAATCCTTATATAAAATACTATACCCCAAAAGGAGGATATAATCTTACTCTGTCTATATTGGGTACCATAATATCCCCAAATAAAATACTACTTACATGTTCCTAGCCTTTCCACCCCTTATCGGAGAACCCTATTTGCAGCTGCGCGGCTGTTGCAGGCGGGCATGACATCTAGCCGACAATTGGCACATGATCCAGTTTACCAGGACTGAAATGGCTTTTCAACTCAGATGGGGCTCTTTGCAAATCAAGCGACTTCTGCTGTCACCCTAGCTGTAAACTGTAGTCAAGTACACATCTCCTACGAGAAGCTTCCTGAGCCGAAAGAGCCAATGCCCGCCAACGAAGCCCGCAACTTTGGGCCATCAGTGACTCTTCCCAAAGGATTCATTTAGCTGTACTCTAACTATTTGGGGCTCCAAGTAGCTACGTTGGAACCCCCTGTGGGCCCTGAATTTACACCATCTACATGCACCCTTTGGGCTTCTTACGGGTGCAATTGTGGATATTTAGGGTCTAGGGTTTAGGGATTGGTGTTTGGGGTTTGCTGTTCCTGCAGCTTCAACCATTGCTGCTGGTCGGCCAAACAGCTTGCCTCGTAGCTATCTGCGACGAACTTGAAGTTTCCGTGTACGGCTGCTTCTGGCACCTGAATTTCCCAAAGGATCCTAGGTATTTATATGGTACAATGTAGGGTCTTTGTACTAGATGTCAATAGTATGGTTTAGGTCAGTATACCCTATACAGGTGCTTAGGATCCTTTGGGTTTGCGGATGTGGGGACGGATCCGGATTTCAACGGGCTCCCGGGAGCAGCACCATTCCCGGCCTTGGTCTTTCAATCTTAAAGTCCTAAATTCTGAACCTGAAAGTCCTAAACTCTGGACCTTAAAGTCCTAAACTGTGAATCCTTAAAGTCCGACACTCTAAGCCTTCAAGGCCTAAGATCTAGACCTTAAAGTCAAAAAAATCTAAGCCTATACCCCTAAACCCTGGACCCCCGAGCCTGGTTCTGCATGAAGGATGGCATCCTTCCAGGGTTTTGCAATTTCTCCAAGTGGGGGGGCCCTTGTTCGGAATCTTTTTGGGAATAATTTGAGAAACTCCCGTTTGGTGGTTTCCCGAAATTGGGGCTGCCCTTTTTGACGGTCCCAATTACAAGGATTATAATGTGTTGGGGTCTATATTGGGGTTCTCCTATTTCCGGAAACAACGATTTCTGTGGAGGTGACGCCAGGGTTACTAGGGCATTAGGGAGCTACCTATGGGATGCAACCCAGGGTCCCTCAAAGTAGCGCCAGGGTAGGCATAGAGATTTTGCTGAGATTCTGCAGGGTGTGTGAAGGACCTATATATAAAAATCTGCAATTGGTGTATTACTGTACGCCTCTGATATGTGCAGGTAAACAAAGCGGGGCTTGCACGTAATCTCCGATTTAACTTCTGGTCCTTTCCTCACTTACGGCGGATTGGAAAGGCCCTCGGGAGGAATCTAAGGGGCATGGCATGACAAGGAAACGAGGGGCTGGGGTCTTTTTACGATCAGGGATTGATACGTCGGAAGGATGCATGTAACCAATGCAGGAGCAAGCGGCTCCTTCGCATGCATGTGGAGGCAGCAGCAGCTGTCACAGCTGTCACCCCACTAGCTCTCTGGCCGATGACATAGTCAGTCTCTGCCTGGTTGAAAGCAACCACTGGAGACATTCCCTGCAAAGGCTTACTTACTCAGGCCAGGTTGGGAATAATGAGAGGAAAGATCCCTGCAACATCCTGCAATTTTTTTCCTGTGAAGAATCCTTTGAACCCCTGCCCCCCTCCCAACTGACCATGCATAAAAAGGACGAGGCGGTGTAAGTGGCTGAAGTACATGGAGTCCAAAGCCTGAAAAAAGGCCGTTGGGCTTCAAGTGAGGTCAGGTCAGAAAATGGACCACTATGGACTCCCAGCTTCCATGTCACTTTACATTTTATCTGCCATTATTGGGTAGTATCCCTGAATTCTGCATAATCCCTGTATAACTCTGTGAATATCGCATCGATTCCCTTTCACTTTCCACTTCAAACTTTCATAAATACAAGCCCTAGAAACCTGTATGTAATCAAAAAATAAGCCAAAACCTCATCCCGGCCTCACTGTTCAAGATGTACTTCACGTAGCCCGGAAGCTGCATTCGCTGTGGCGAAGAGGCTCCAGGGAAGAACACGGACGCGAGATTTTGCGCCTGCTGTTACTCAAATGTTTCTTCCCTATACCCTGAACCCTAAGAACCTGAATCCTAAGCGCTAAACCCTAAACCCTAAATCCTAGACCGTAAACTCCTTAGTAGGTGCGACATCACCCCCTGCCCGAACAACATATCCCTGGGATTCCTCAAGGAACCCCCGGGCTCCTTCCACAGAACTCCTATGGCACGATGACTCTGCAACCATATGAGCTATAGTGAAAGCTCCGAGTATAAGCCCTACACTAGGAACCCTACATAGTCCCCTATATAACCCCTGTACGATTTGATACCACAGCTCATATGGGACTCAACTCTACATGGAACTCTGAGACGCTTCTCGCAAATTATCCCGAGACCCCTGCAGTCCCTTCCACGACTCCCCACTTTTGAGCGCTCCACCCAACATCTCGCCTGGCCGAATCGTCGGACCAACTTGCGGGAGAGATAGCTGTTGCAGATGAAGGCGTGCAAGGTTTCAGACCTGAAAGCTTCTGCTGCAGGTGAGCAAACATCATTGGGATAATGGAAAAGAAAATGGAAACTACTACAATGGTGTTATAGGGTCATAGGGTTTAGGGTTTAGGCCCGTGTTGGTAAATATAATCATGAAGAAGCAAATAGAGAACAAATTGGAAAATGCCGTGAAAGCCGGGATTCTACAGTGGTTTACAAGGCTTAGGGCTTCCACAAATTGATTAGGGGTCCTTTCTGGGAGTCCTTTTCTACAGAACATAAAGTTACTGAGGCCTATATCTGAAAGCTACCATGTAACCCTCTCACTTAACTCAATTATTCAATCCAGCACTCCACTGGGTCAAGTTAGGATCTACTGATACCACTATACTGTTATAAAGCACGGTTAGGCCGAACGTCAGCACTCATCAGCTTCGGGCCATGCGCTGTTGTCACTATTTCTGCTGCGCGAAGAAAACCTGAAAACTTAAATACAAAGGACGTGCGCCCCATGACTCCTGCCCAACTTTCATGACCTACACACCTCAACTCTCCGTGAAAGAAAGTGCGACCTAACTTTTTGAAAATGAACTGGGATTTCCTTTGTCATCCGGACATCTGGAAGGGCAACATAAACATCTGCACGCTCTTTACCCCAAGGCCCGGCAATCCCCACGAAAAATAACGTAACATGTCTCCCCAAAAGCGTAAAAACCTAATCCCCTAGAAACGATGAGGCCTTGTACCTTCATACCAGCCATCCTCCAATTGAAGCCCGCGAAACGCTGAAGCCCTGAAAATTCTGCTGTCATCTCCACACTCAGGAGCGGACAGGTAGCCTTCATCGAACTCTGGGCATTCCTGCCAGGTACAACTGTGCAGTACACACCCCAGACTAACGTGGAAGCCCAAAAGGCCCTACAAAGAATACTGTCGCTTTCAAATATGGGCTTCCGCAGTAGTTCGGGCCAGGGATTGCAATCCATGACCATCCAGATGGGACCGTCGAATCTGGGATGCAGACACCAAGGGCATTTGAAGATTATGAGGATTGTGTGGGTCCCTTTAAGAGGAGATGGGGATGCAGCATTTTAAGAAGCGCTTAACCCATGCTACAGTCATGTTCATGTGGGTCATGCCCGTCATTCCCCCACCTGCTATTCCTTCGTGACGACCACGGAGACTTGAATGTCTCAGGGTCCCTCTCTCTTCTCATTAGATCACCATCAGTAGTTGGGGATACAAGTACGATATCTCCTCTGATGATGCCTACTCCTGATCTAAATAGTGGAATAAGAAATCTTCTCGTAACAGCACCGCTTGGGAAAATGCTCAGTCTCGCTGCGCAGGGCAGACATTGCCCGCAGAAAACAACACTCTTATGATTCTGGAGTATTTTACACATTCTGCTACTTTCCCTATCAACTGCTATGTAACTAACACTCTTATCCGGAACTCTTTTCGCAAGACAAGCCCGCATGCCTGCATGACGTGGCAGCACACAGCCACCTTAGGGGGCTTCGGGGGAGAGGTTAGGGTTTTTAGGGTCTAAGGGTTTAGGGGTTTAGGGGTTTAGAGTTTAGGGTTTATACGGTTTAGGGGGCTTCTGCTAGGCAGGCAGCTACGTTTCCACAACCTGGACGACGCTACAGTCATGTTTACAATGAGGAATCGGGGTACCCGGGTACCCTCCACCAAAATCACAGTATGAACCATAATGATGTTAATACAAAGAATAAGAAGAAGAGCAGCAGACATCATTAGCTGGCTATAGGATGATACAGGGATTAGCAGACATCATGAAAGACATGTTAAGTGCACGGCAACCTAGTTGATTGTGCTTCACGCAGGGTGGGGAAGGAACGATCCTCACCAAGCACCACGTGGCGTAACCCAGTGTTACTATTATTTCTGGTATGACTATTATTACATGTATTACTATTCTTACTACAACTACTAGTATCACTATAACCCTGGTAGCCCTGGAGTTCGTACCGGGAGGCGGACCAAAAGCACAGCATCTCCCAGGAATTCCAGGCGCTGAAAAGGAACGCAACGTGCTCCATTCGGAGACGCTCGTAGGGCAGCCAGTAGCTGTGGATTTCCTAAGAAGAGGTGATTTTGTGCTGGTGAGAAGCTCCTGGGTTTCCATAAATTAGGGATACCTATCTTGGGTGTCCCAATAATAAGGATATACTTACAGTATTTTGGGGTCTGCATTAGGGACCCCGTATAGGAGGAAACTACCATGTACTCCTGGGCGGAAGAAGCTCCAAAGTTACGGGATACAGCAGCGTCTTTTATGGAGCGGCAACCTGTTGTGAAAGTTTGAGCTCTGGCGAAATTTCTCTCAAGTCCTACCCAGCCTGCCCTGATAGATTTCCCATGCCCCACGAACTGTGAGATAAATAGATGCTCATGCTTGATTACAGTAAATAGTTGGACCCTAAACCCCATTGCAGTAGATAGTTGGGAATGAGGAAGGAACTCCAATGGCTTTAGTATCATGAATCCCGATCGATGGCCCTTTCCCCTAAGGAACATGCTCATAGACATGCCCCCTGCACCTTGAGCACCAAGAAATCAGGGAGTTTCTTAAAATTATCCTTGTGTATCCTTAGATACCCAGCCCTCAGATTCTAAGCCCCAAAGCCTGAAACTCTAAAGTTATGTTGGGGTTGTATTGGGATAGTGGGAAAGCAAATGGAAAGTACTAAGGGCTCTATAGGGATTATATTAGGGTTATATTGGGATAATGGAAAGGAAAATGGAGGCTACTGAGGGATATATAGGGATTGTATTAGGTTATATTGGGCGCATAGTGGCATAATGGGGATTATATTGGGATAATGGAAAGGAAAGTGGAAACTACCCTAAGGGTTTAAACCACAAACCTTTAGCTCAAGGAAACCCTAAACCCTAAACCCTAAAACCCTAAAACCCTAAACCCTAAACCCTAGGGGCTTGTGCCACCAGGATGCTAAATCGGTAGCCTCAGCTCTGCTATGACATGACATGAGGATCCTGAAGGGTTTAGGGTTTAGGGGTTTAGGGTTTAGGGATTAGGGTTGAAGGAGGGCGGCCTATGCCATGAGTTTAGGGTTTATAGGGATTAGGGTTTAGGTTTTAGCGTTTGCTGTGATGTTGCCGTGCAGGATGTGATGAGTAGGTGTCAATGATCTTTCAAGTGCATGGTTGCATGCGAGGTG